AGTAATGATGCATGTTTCAGCGAAGATTGTGTGAAATCCTCCATTTTGTTCCTAATATATTCTTGATAACTGGAAACTGGGTATTTACCCGTAGGTATCTGTTAAGATTCCATTAGAAAGAAGCTTATGAAATACTAATCATCTGTGACATTGACGTTTTCTCTTAATACTTTATTAAAAACACTGTTCTAGGTGTCAGCTTGTGTAGTACATATCTAAACATTATATGTGGAAATACTACAGTAGCTGTATCTTTTTCAAATTTCTGCTTTGATATCGAAATTGTGAAGGTAAATAGATTGAAACTTGTATTGGAGCATAGTTACCTTACCGTTACGACTTACCGCCTGTTTGATATCAAAAAGCCATTTTATTTTCCCGAAATGCAATTTTAAGAAAATCAATAAGGTGCAGATTCTGCTAGTACATATTTTTATGTGAGTTCAAACAATACTATGGTCGAAAGAAACCTAGTGCAATGCACAAATCTGTAGTAGAAGGAGGAATATTTTTGATAACCCTTAAATCACTATAAAACCCTCGGGTGTATATTTTTGTGTAGAAAACCCTGCTCATGTCTTCCTTATGCGTATATCATTCTTTATATCACATATAGAGTATCATTGCCCCCGTTTGATTAGATCAGAATGATAAAAAACTGTAAAGAAAATTATGCGACACGCAATGATTTATAGTAAATCTTTCCAGGTTAATGCTCTCATTTCCATACAAAATAAAGTGTGGGTAAAAAGTATGACGTAACACATTTATTCACCAGATGGGTGCCTGGCACCGCTATCTTGAAATAATACGCTTTAGTTTTCAGTTGTTGATAAATAAAAATAAATAAATAAAATGAGTAAAAACACTTTTAAACCAAGATTGGACTTTTAATAAATTTACAGTCTGATTGGCTGATAAGTAGCCCCTACAGAGTGCTTTGGGCTTCGAAAAATAAGTACACTGGTTGTCAGAGCACCCTACGTTAAAAGTCTTCATGGGACTCTTGATCGCTATGTTGAAAACTGCCTCTCTCTTTTTATAAGGAAACTGCATAGTTCTTTCTACAAAATAGCTGGAATTTTTTCAAAAAACGAATTTAAAAAAGTCCATATTGATGATTAGATAATATCAATAAAAGAGCCTCAACAAGAAAATGAGCATTTGCAATTGACGAGTCTACGAATCGTTTCTCAATGTCGTCAGAATAGAACTGTGACAGTTTTTCAAAGCTATGAGATTTTGCGTCTGGATGTGTATTATAACACCGTAGCTGCTGTTAGCACGGTCGAGCTTGGCTCTTAGGAAGCGCCTCTAAATACTTTCTGTGGTTACTTATCGGCTCATTTTTTCTGTATCGTTATTGGTTTTTTGTATTCGTAAGCAAATCTCTGATGAGGTCTTGATTACCTCACCATTCACCACAACTCTCGCATTGACAACACCGCCCTTTTCAGTCCCACCCCTTCTAAACTCGCTAAGCGACACCGTTCCATTACCCGACATCTGTGTTTTCACGACCACTTCCAACTTCCTGAAAGCGGGAAAGAAGTTGGGATCGATGCAAAGGCAAAGTGAGCTGCTTGCTAAGCGGCTGGGAAGTGGGAACTGTGCATGATAGATGGCGGTGGTTGAAGTGGGAAGTTATTGATCGATGCAGCTGCGAAAAAGGTGTGAACGCGGATAAGGCGGGAAAACTTGAAAGAAGTTGCTTCCGGAACTATTTCTGGTCATGACGTATTTTTAATTTCAGAGTGATGTTACATACTTCCGTAATAGTTTTTATATTGAAGCAGCCATCTAGGCCGAAATCTAATACCGGCACATCGCGAGTGTTATACCCAACCTAAAAAGAACCTGTTAATCTAACATTTGCAGAACTGGAGAAAATCTCGTCAGGCAGATTGTTCTACAATCTCGATACCCTAGGAACAAAGCAGGACCACCTAAAACAGCCAATGTGCGGCGTTATCATGGAGGTGAGCTCTGAAGAGCAAAGCCGGTTGACATGGCGGCTGAAGAGAGCAAGATTGCCCACCGCCCGTTGGTGTGAAAGGCTCACAAGGCTGTCCATTAGAGGAATGACATCGATCAAAATATGATGTAAAATGATTAGGCCTATAGACTATTGATTTAATTGTTGATTATTGAATTCTTAAACCGAGAAAATGCAGTGAGAGGCACAGTGAATTCTGAAAAGGAACCACAGTTTCACTTTTTGACATTGAAAGCTTCAACGACACAGTAGGTGCAATATATTGATGTTCCTAGTAACTTCTGGCTCTGTCCCCCTCCCTTTGAAGGTTACATGGGTTTAATTCAAATAAGTATATTGGAATAACCATCATAACAATAATAAAAATTAAATCTACAAAAAATGGGCGCGTCAGTTTTTAGACAAATGCGCGCGTGAACGTGCTTTGTACCTGTCAGGTAGACAGTTGCAGGGACCTCAGATGATCATTTATTTTTCAGTCAAGTCTACTACTTTAAGGATTGGCGTAGAATTCTATGGACAAATGTTAATTTTTGAAGGCTTTAGATATTACTGTTTGTTGCTGGTTACCTTTTAACAAAACTGCTCAAATGCAATTGTTAGAACTTGTTTGGATTACCTCGTTTGGACATACTGAGGTCTTAGTGATTCCATCACAGTAATCTTGCCAATTAGTCTACAGCGCCAACTGTTAGCTGACTTTTAGGTTCGCCTGCTAACAGGCAGAGCAAGCTCAGCTTACTTGCGCCATCTCTCTTTAGATCTCTCAAGCTGCTTAGTACAGCCTCTGGTGATGTTCAAGTAATATCAACTGAATCGTAAAGTGTCTATGATCGCTTAGTGACGTCACACCACTTTTTGGGTACGCATCACGATTAGAGGTTAATTACGAATTCGGTAACAATGTCATTCACTCCTTATGACCTCTACCACTCCACTAGTATGACCCTGACTTCTAAGTACCTTGACTTTTCGGCATGGTTGAATTTGCTTGGCGAAAAAAAAAACGTAGCCTTTGTTTTTGGCATAAAAATAACATTTATTTTCAGGTATGGTTTGTGATTTATATCGGCAAGGTAAGCACGTGTATTTTGCTATTAAATGCTCGTCGGACGAACCTTGTATACTGCTCAATAAACTAGCAGTGTTGGCCGGAAAACAGATGTTTTGGGATAAACAATTAGGGATTCTCAAAAACTACTTGACCAATATACTCCAATTTTGTGGTTGTTATTTAGAAGTATGGATCCTACGGAATTGAAGAATATCAAGTAGTTGCGTAAAATTGTCGTAGCATTACCAACAAGTGCCAAAACCTGCATTTTGCCTCGTTTTTTAGCCATAACATTTCTGCTTTTAATCAGATCTTTTTACGTGTGGTCTCATTTTGCAGTTCTCATAAATATCTAAAAATCTTATCCAAAAAGCTTTTTCGTTCCTGTCAACACTTTCGATTAAATCCCAAAGAACTCGTTTTCATTTGTTGTCGAATAAAGAGTTTCCCCACAAAAGGTGTACCCATTTTATGCGTCCATGTTTTAAATACCTCCTTAAACAGCTTGTACCAATAAAGCCAGACCTTACAATTATTTTGGGCAATATGATTAGACTATAATGGGCAAAGGTCCTACGGACCGCCCAGACAAACAAATGACGAATAGTAAATGCTGAATAGTATGAAATATAAATGACGTGAAACCTCTTGAGTAGGGAGCCGTAATAAAATATCTGAGAAGTTCACTTCTTCTGTATAGGAGGATCACAACGCTAAGGCTCTATTGAGCCCATTGTATGTTATCGCCAGGGGTCGCTCAGAGGTCTGGATCATCAGCCACCGCAAACTATTGGAACACCTGGTGTTGCGACAAAGCGAAGTTTACCTTACGCTGGCGATAGAAGACCAACGTTCTCTCAGAACGAATTCTCGGAATAATAGGTCAGCTGGGCAAAAAAGTGCTTGACTCTCATCTTCCTTTTCATATCCTCTCCATACAGATGTGTCATTCGGTCTCATGTTATGCTTCCTTAGCTGATATTGACAGTTTCAAATCGCACTTGTTGTCTGGACATAGACAGGTAGTTCTTTGCTACTTCCCCACTAGAATATCTAAAGAATTCCTTAGCGAATGGGCAGCCTGATGTATTATCTCACATGTTTTTGAAGATTTCGTGGGACTGCTCTTTTAGCGTAGCTGTCATGGCTCCGATGGGTGGCATACAGAAAGGCACTGGGTCCACAATTCTGGTTTCGGCAGCCCTTTTGCCACTCTATCGGCTATAATATTACCCTAGAGTTGTGAATGACCCGTCACCCTGACAATAGTTATGTTATTACTGGTGGAGGCTTTCACAAGTGCCAAGTGGCAGTCTAGTGCTGTTCTCATTGTAAATCTACTCCACTTTAGATGGAACGTGAACGACGGGTCACAAGATGGATTTGCAGCATTACAGGGTTACGTTATCCAAACTTAATCTCAAAATTGTAATTTGCTCTTAAAGATAAACGTCAGGGGGAGTTACCAAGCAGGCCATGATTGTAATTTCAGACTATTTCCAAAATTAAAAGGGTATTTCGGAGAAAAGTGCCTTCCAAGTCACTAAGGGGTGATATTTGCATTAGGGGAGTGGTTTTCACCAGTCGGACAAAATGTTAACCGGGATGCTGTTGAAATTCTGGACCTTCAACTGAGCAAATGTGTATTGATCTGAGTAGGGACGCTGTAGAAAAACGATAGAGATAAAATAAACTTAGCTTTATTGCAGGGATAAGAGCGCAGCATAATGATCAAGCCTCATAGATCTGCCGTTAAAGAGACTCTGGAGTCCTACCTTTTGGCATCGCTTTCAAATGATGTCATTAGGTCAGAATTGCGAGATCGGTATTCCTCCCTTATCTTTCACAGATTGCGAAGCTGCCGCGTAGGAGCATTATTAAGAATTAATAACCTGAAATCTCCTTTTCCCGCTCATTCCAGTCGGCTGAAGGAACGAAGGAACTAGTTTCGCCATTAGAGAGGGGATTGCATTTCCATGTAGGATTTTCTTCGTGTTCTTCCATTTTTCGTACGTAGGCGCTGAATTGCTGCCTGTTTTCCCCCTCCAAGGAATAATTGGCTCATTTTTATAGTTGGATAACGTACACGAGCGTAGGGAGTGTCACTGCTTTTACTTTATAGGCCAAGAGACAGGGAGATTTTCTATAAAGAAATCTTACAATTAGGGAGGTAGTTTTTTTTTATTATTGTTAGGTTATTGCTTCGTAATGATAAGCTTAAATTGGTGTCATTATATATTTGGAGGGTTTGCTGATATTTTGGTTATCATTTTTGATCAAAAATCTTGGAAACCATCGATCCTGTGTAAAAAAGTAACAAAAACAATTTTATAGGGAATTAAATTCATCATTACGATAAATTAAAGGGTAAATGTGAGGACATTTCTGCTTATACTTTCTGAACTACGAATCTTAGAGTACTTCTTTTGTACGGAATAACATTTCCTACGAAAAAGGTATTTTACGTTTTTCCGATACCTTGATGGTTCTTAAAGTATAAGGAGGGAAAGTGGAAAACTTCTATCAAAGCAGTCACGCGATATACTCTGTCCGTTACGTACGTTGTCAATCTAAACCTCATAAAATATTATTTCACATAGAAATAAACTCATAATGATTATATGGTCAAAAACACCATTTAAAAGTGCAAGTATGGAAAATGTAATATTTTTTGATAATTTGTGATATTTTCATTACGAAAATTAAGTCATTCACTCAGTCTGTCTATTGGCGATTTTTTCAATGAGTAATTTCAGCAAATGTTAAGTAATGAGATCGCGTGATCTCGAAAATTGAACAGGCAATGGAAGTCCGAAATAAAACTTTTGAAACATCTAGATTGTCTACAAAGTTCCAAAATGCGAAAATATTACATTTTTCATAGTTTTTAAATGATATCCTTGAATATAGATAATGACTTACGGAGTTATTCCCATGTGAAGACAGGTTATATGCTGACACGTGTACAATGTACGTCGAGTGCGAGGTATGCCGTGCGATACGAATTTTTGACTTTATGCTTAAAGAAACATGAAGGTATCAAAAAAACGTAAAGGTCTTCATATGCTTAAGTTGTTAGTTTAGCCATTACAAGCGGAAATATCATTATATGAACTCTTACCCTTAAATGCTTCGTAAGCTGTTGACTATACAACTCATTTTCATGGAAGCAAAATGATTAAGAATTTCATTTCTTACTAATTTTTGTACACAGCATCGGAAGCAATAATCTAACAATATCACAAAAAATACTATCGACAATATTGTAGAAAAAGATTTCCTGATCTGTTCGAGTTTTGAAAGCCTTGTCGACATTCCGCTTCTGTTTCTGTCGCTCTAACTTTTTGCACCAGAATAGTTGGCTTTGATATCCGAATTCCTCGACTAATATGGGCTTAAGGAGGGATTGCTGTTAGGTATCCGAAAAACGTTTTCCATGCAATGCACTTTCCCTTATTGCTATTAAAGTGATGTTTAATGAAGAAGTATTTTTTTACCTGGAAGACCCTGCAGACTTTTAGTGAAAATGATAGTTGTTTTTCTTATACTTATTTTCATTCCTTCGGTGAAAGACATAAATTTTGCTTCATTCGGTTATATATGTATCCGGCCCTATTACAGATTGAATAAGAGGCTAGATGCAGACTGGTCTGGGCTTGAATACACATGGACGAACGATTCATAGAATTCAAGTTTTTAACTAAACTAATGAAAATAGGGAAGGCATTAGAAAAGAAGGACTATCGTTTCTGCTAAATTAAAGAAATACAACTTTACTCGATAGCTTTTTTTTTCTGAGATACAAAAATGACTTAAGATGGAAAACTTTGTACTACATCCTATAACTTTTATTTGAAACATTTTCCAAATAGTCAGAAAAAAGTGAGAGGGGAGTAAACTTACAGCGGGACATCCATACGCATTCTTTTATCAACTTTTTGCATAACCATTTTACATAAATGTAGTTGAATTTCGTTGATGCAGCGTTGGATTTCCTTCTCCAATCCACGAGTGCCTGGGTTTCTTTGTGAATTAACTGGAGAATATTGATATGGATAACACATGTGGTTTCAAATACATGGATTTCGTGCAGCAGTCCATTTACAATTGATCCTCTAAACTTACTTGTGGGCTTTTTTCTACCTAAATCAGATGATATTGTTGTGAATAACGTGTGGCTTCAACAAGATAGGGCCATATGGCATACAACTCGCAAAGCAATTCAATTGCTGCATGTATTTTCTATGAAATTATTTGAGGTCAAATGTTTTTCTCAACAGGCCTACAGACACTTGAGAATGAAACGAGGAAATTCAATGATACTACCATCAAATTAATTCTCATTTATGTAAAAAGGTAATGAAAGACGTCGATAACAGAAAGCCGAAGAGGCACTTGGCTAATGTGCTATTCAAGACATAATCCTAAAATGCCTACTTACAGATTCAACATAAAAATAGCGATCTAAAGAAGAAAAGCGGTTTTTTATTTAATCAAAACCTTGTATGAACTTTGGAACACCGATTATTAAGTATCTGTTCATATCCAGCTTTTTATGTTCTATGTTTCCTTTTATGGGACCGAATTTTTGGAAAGTGGTAAATCCATTCGTCCCTGTCTCTTCGTTTTTCAATTTTAGGGTGTACCTTAAAATACTTTTTTAGAAGGCATTAATATCTCGAATTTATAATGAACCTGTTTTTTTGGACCAATAATTCATTTTATTGCAATTTCAAACACAACATTTTTTGGAATTCATAGTTTGTGAAAATTTCAGATAAGCTATCAAGTAAAACCTGATTGTGAATGTTACACCGCTGGAACTGATGCTCGTGCCGCTTTTGCTACCTACTAGGCTCCACGTTAATTTTTAATCCTGTTTAGTGTGCGAAAAATTGGAAGCAGATGCTGCTGCGGAGTACATAGTAAAGAATAACCTATCGCAAACAAATTGTGCACTTTCCCGAAACTACTGTGACGAGGAAAATAAATTATGTATGCACTTTCATGGAATATTGGGTCAGTAAGCGTAAAAGGGTCAAATTTGTATGCTAGACCTTTGTCATAAAAATGCGGTATTTAAAACCAATTTCATATTCATGCAAATCTAGATGATGAAAAAAGAATGGATTAGAATTATTGTAGTTTTATAGGGCCAATTTCACCAACATTAATATTATGGACCAATGGGAAAATACCTTATCGAAATGCAATTTGACGGAAGCTTTCAAAGGTCTCTGAATATTAGTGATTTCTATTGAAATATTGAATAAAATCGTGAAAATTCGACTGTATTATAAACAAGACCACTTTTTGATTCCAACATGATGCTTTTGTACAGAAAAAACAGGACAACTTTCAGCGAATGGGGAATGCGGCAAATAATAGGTCGATTTTCTAGCTGTTAAATTTGGCAGCAGATTTGGACGTTTGTTAATGCATGGCACTCTCGAATTTACCAACTTCAATATACTGAAACTTGTCATTACAAACCTGTTGCATAGTGTGGATTTGTCTGTATTTTGCAACAAAATAGAATATAAAATACATTCCATCCAATTTCTCATCTTCCTTTACGTCATAATAGTAATCATTTATTAATTTATGGGTTAATGAATTTCTTCAAAGCAATGAAAACATTATATCCTCTCCATCCTAAAACACAGATAATATGTGTAAGACGTGCCAATCCCTACAGCTCCGTGATGCATAATGCAATTACTATGGACATAGACAAAAAATTATGAAAAATGTTTCACAGATAATGGCTTTTAAGTCCAAAAATCAAAAAAAACTAGTAATGATGTTTATGGTTTGTCTATTTTTCTTTTTTGACTGGCGGGGATATGTATCTGACACTCGCAGGGTTGCCAAGTCTAACGACGATCACGTCCCGTGGTGGAGGGTGCGAAATGAATCTTTTACAATTGCTGGTTTTGAATGTTTTTCGTGAAAATTTACTAGGTATCATAAGCATCTCTGGTAGATTGTTCGATCCAGAATGAGAAAGATCTTTTATTTATGAAAATATCTTTGGTATCATCTAACCGTTGCAATCAGTGCACAAACACTGTGACATATGATTTATAGCATAACCCGCTGCCCTATCAATACAAATTTAACATACAGGTCGCCTAGCCGTGGGGATGCAGTGGTCGGGATGAATATCACGGCAGCAACTGATGATTTGGGCATGTCTGGTAACAACGTATGAAGTGAAACTCGCTAACTTCACTAATTTGAAGATTTTGTACAATTTTTTTGAAAATGACACAGTCCGGATCGAAAGAAGCTGATACTCGTGAAATGTATTGATACTTCTAAATATAGGATCGTATCGAACATCCCTACTGTCAAGATGTATAACCCAAGGTACCGACGGAGCTATATTGCGGCGTCAAGGAAATAATTTTAAATATTGATTTGCATTTTTTCAAGTGTTGTGCAATGATTTTGGGAAAAATGTCACGAATAGTCTCATGAAGCATAGAAGAGTATATTTCAACAGTTGGCGGAACTTACTCCACTGGGACCAGAAGGGTGGAACGGGATATTAATGCACAATCTGGTAACCCTGTCGCACCCTCACAAAATGGCCGCTGATAACCACACAAGTCACCGTGTTGTCATTGAATAGGAAAACCTTTAGAGTATAATATGTTTTGTGACTGGTACCAAGAGTTGACAGATTCCACACATGTTTCATTCCTTGAAATGCAATAATCAGCTGTATCCAAATAATGTCTAATATAAATATAACCTAGAATGTATAGGTACTCGTGAAAAAAGAAAAATTTGGCAAAATTCTAGTTTTTTTTGCAGCTTTTAGGTTTGATGGTAGCTTTAAGGCAAATATTTGGGAATTTATTAATCGCTGTGAATATAGTGTGGATGTTTGTTCAGTTCCTGAACAACGAAAAATATTCAACTTCATGGATATGTGGATATCAAAAAACCTGAATGGTTTTGTGGGAATATCAATCTAAGGTGGCATAATGGTTCTGATGAACGGCAAGTAAATGAATGAATGTTTGGAAACGAGCAATATCTTTTGGTAGAGCCTGGCATCAAGTAGGTGCTTAATGGCTATCTGCGAGAGGTTTATAGGAAAAAACATCCAGTATCACATATCAATTGAAGGAAATAATATAAACATGAATAAAAAATCTACAACAGTAATTAAACATTTCTTAAAATTTTGACTGAATTATATGTAATTTCTTAATATTCAATAAGCTGGTGATGTTTCAATGACAAGTTGTCATCTCATACTTTGACAGTATTTTGTTTTCAACATTTCATAGCTATTGGTTGCTAAAATTTGTTGATTGGAACTTGAAGCTCATTCGCTTGTATCTGACGGTCTGTTACCCTATAGGTGGAGAATAACAGACTGTTGTTGGTGAAATTGGGCCTAAGACAAACTACTTGCACGTCATTAATTTATAATGATACTACTCTCGCTAGAATGATTACTATCCCTACGAGAAGAATGCTTTTGAGTATAGTCTGCGCGACCACGCAGGTAGGACTTAATTTCTCTCTAAAGGTCGATATGAAAGTCGGTTGACGGCATCTTAGGCCAATTAATGCCCATTATTTGTGACTCTGCAGTCGTTCCTTTTAAAGCAATTTTAATACAAATTCTACATTGTCTGTGCTGTGAAGAGAGAGGGATGATAAACTAGGATTTCCTACCTCCAGCCTGATACAAATAGGTCTTGTTTCAGTTAGAAAATAAGGCATTTCGGGTAATTTGCGGTAGGCTGAGGTAAGCAACCATATATGTGCTAACAATTTTAATATAAATTACATTAATGCTATAGGTTTATGGGGGTATGGGAGGTGTTATGGAATGCAGACTAATTGTTGTATTCTATTGTCACGAATGGCCTCTTCTTTTCGCAGTTGAAATAAAATACTGCCTGCATTTTCACGTTTTATGCTCTCAAAAACACACCGAACTACTCAATCGTAATACACAACTCTATATTCCTTTATACACCCTGGTACATTTCGAAAGTTCTAGGCTCCAAGAATCCAGAAACAAAACTGACAACATATCTAGCCTACAATTTGACAACACATAACAGCACTCAAACTGTGGCCTAACGCACTATACATGGGTGTTACAGTATTTATAACAAAGTGGCTCTTATTATATTTCCCATACCTAGATACTGATTGATAACCAATTAGTTTTATTTCTCCTTTACCTGTGTACTGAAATACCCTATAAGGTGTATTGTTTGTTTGCTTAGATACTAATATTTTTATGTTGTCTTCAGGCATGGATCATGGGCTTGTGGTAGTAGATCGACTGTTATCTAATCTGAGCATATGTGACGTAAATTGCCAACAAACGATAATCTGAAACTACTGGGTATTTAGGACACCGAATCACTCTTCATGTCAATTCACTTGCTTTTTGGTTCAGTAACCATATCATATACGGCGTTCTTTCATGCTTTTCAGCAGCCAATACGGCAGGGGTATTACGTATCTTGAAAAGGGACATTTTGTTGGTTTTTTTACATTTCTAAAGTTTTTGTGACATAACGTAGGTTTTTCTACAAGATGTCAACTTAGCACAGGGCTGTTGTGCACTTGCTGTGATTTCATTTTGTAGCCGTACGTGTTGCTTAAACATCAGCGAACAGCGATCATAGCGAGGAAACGTGGAATGACCTATTTGCACACTAAGAACTACCTAGTCTGCAAGATGACATTTCGTGTTTTTTTTACGACTTTTAGGCTTTTAACATAATACTCCTGCGGTATAGGAGTGGCTTCGAGACAGGCAATGGAGTGCAAATAGATTGCATGTGGCCTACTGGAAAACTCATAAAGCACAGGCTGAATTGGATTTGGTTGCTTTTCGTCTCTGTGGTAATGCCCAACTATATAAGACGTCGTTGCAGACTTAGCAGGTCTTGGAGAAAGAAAACATAAAGCAAACAAAATGTATATGGTTTACCGAGAAACTCAGTAGATAGTGCACCACCTTTAGAAAGCTGTAGAAAGGCTTGAAACGGTACTAGCGCCGAATACGATTAGTCATGGCCACAGAGATAGGAGCAAACATACGAATATTCAACTCAGTTTGCGCTTATTCAAACTTTGCATACTACATCACTGTTGAAGACACAGTGGACACTTAGTGTTCCCTCTGATTGACGAGTTGTCTCTGTTGGTAAGCGTTATCTTTCCGTTCCTAGAATAGCATGTCTTTCAGATGAACCAGAAGGCGAGAAGGCATTCATACCTATGTAAAATTTACACCTTATTATTCTCATTGCAGTTGTCAATGATAGAGGGATTCAAATTTTCTCTTTAATCACGATTGGCTATGCATCCCTAGACACTTTAATCCTATAGGACGATCGGAATGCTGGATTAATACGCTTTCCGAATTGCTGGTATAATTTTCAGCTATCGATTACTAGTTCACTACGATCAGAGGGGAGTTTAGAGTATCGGTTATGGTAGTAATAGATCAAGGGTGGCTTCAATGGTTTGAAATTATATTTTGAACCTGATGCTGTATTATGATTTATTACAAGTCAACCTAACAAACTGCATCCTATGAAAACGGTATGATGCATAATAAATTATGTCCGAAGTGCTAACAGAGGTCATCTTAAGCCACTGTACATGGCGAGTGCAAAACGATGGCAACGTACAGGGTGTTTTAAGCTTCCACGCCACTGATAAAACATAGATGTTACCCAATAACGCTGCAATGTGATGGGCTCTCCCCTAATACACTACGTACAATTTTCAATATAAGACTTAATTAGACTTAGCGTATTTTCAAGGTAGAACAGGTTGAACTATTCTTATGTACATCTTATATCAAAAATGCAAATCATTTTTGTCCAAAAAAGAATAGTTTGACAAACATTTTACAAAAGAGACAATTCACTTAAAAAGAAAATAAAATAATTTTCTTTATTCTTCTGTAGGAGTTGAAATTTCACAATTTCTACGCCACTGGTATGCCGTTAGTACAAAATTTTTAGACAGTAGTTCAATGTGCTTCAAAGAAACAATCTCTTTTCGATTCTGGAATTATATATTCAACATCGTCTATCTCGGTAGGGATCATTCAGTGTTCATGGGTTATTTTTTCTATCTACTCTCCACATTTACATTACACCCTATAAATTTTATAACGGGTGATTTTTTAAAAAACGATTAAATTTTTATTTGAGTCGATAGAACGGTCGATATAATTTAATGTTTAAAGATTATTTCATCTAAATGTTGGCCGCGGCTTCGCTTTAGATGGCCCATGCGCGAGGTCCAATTTTGCCACACACTCTCCAACATATCGGCCGGTATCTCACGAATAAATGCTTCAATATTGGCTTCCAGTGCGTCAATCGTTGCTGGTTTATCCCTGTAGACATTAGCCTTAACAAGAAATAGTCCAACGGCGTTAAATCACACGATCTAGGCGGCCAATTGACGGGCCCCAAACGTGAGATAAACTGTTCACCGAACTCGCCTCTCAATAGGGCCACTGTTTCATGTGCGGTGTGGC